AAAAAAAAAAAAAAAAAGAAAAACACTTGCCTTAGTGACTTTATAATTTTAGCCTTCTACTAAAATGGAGCAGTTTGAAAGTGAATTTTAAGAATTGTTTTAGAAATTTCAGTATCCTTTTCTGTGTATTCATTAGCTTAATAGTCTTGAACTGTACAAATAGTAGGAGTAAAAACAATATTTTCTTTCTTTCAGCTGGTTTATCATGCATTGCAGTTATTAGCATATACAGCCCTGGGTATTTTAATTATGAGACTAAAACTCTTCTTGACACCACACATGTGTGTCATGGCATCTTTGATCTGCTCAAGACAGGTAATATGGTTATGGTGGAGTATAATTGCTATGATAATTTTACGTCAACATTTTATTGAGTGACCCGGAAATAATAATGAATTACCCAAAGTCTTCCAAGTCATTATAGATAAGGTTCTTCATGGTTTTGTACTTATCTTTTCTAAAGGGTAAAAGCCAAAACTGATCATTTTCTGTCTTTCTAATTTCTAAAATAGCCTTTGGTGTACAACGAACACTAAATTAGTTGGCTGTGCTTATTAGTGATTATTACAGGTAATTAAGCAGAGCTTAATTGCAGAAATAATTTTTTCACATTCATATCATAAATAACTCTAACAATTGATTTTAAGTTAAAAGCACTTTCAAATTATATATTACTTTTTAGTATCAAGCTTAAATTTTTAAAATTTATTTGTTGTACATTTGTGTGTACATCCCTGACTTTTGCCCTTTTAAAATTTAGTTTAAGCCTTGCTTGGTGATTTGCAGCTTTTTTTTTCCTGGATAACTGACCCCTGCTCTGTATTCGCAGATTTATGTTTCTCCTTAGTGCCACCATTTCATCAGTCAGCCACCTGTAGTGCAATAGCAATGCCTGTCTTAAATGTAGCAGATATTTCTAAGCACCTACACTGCTCACTCTAGGAATAGGGGTAGAGGAGTGGATGGAAAAATTAATAGCCAAATTGTATACGAGGAGGGACCCCCAAAACAATTTATTTATTAAAAATTGTATATTGTATGTTTAAACTTCAGTCACCTTCAAAGTACTCTTGTTTGATGTAATACATCTATCACAATGCTTTTTCACTACTCAAAACAGTTTTTGAACTTGACAATTTTTATGCTTTTTAGAGCTTCTGCTGTTTTTTGTTTCACCTCATCCACATCAGCAAATGTTTCCCTTTGAGAATTTTTTCATCCACGGAAACAAAAACTGTCACTTAGGGCAAGATTGGGAGGGTTAGGGCATGGGGCCTCGTGCCGTTTTTGGTCAAAAAGTGCTGAACACTCAGCATGGTGGGGGTAGGTATGTTGTTATGGTAGAAGAACCAGTCACCTGTTTGCCATAACTTGGGATGTTTCTTCTACTGATGGTGACACAACCTTCTCAAAATTTCCAGGTGAAAACTTTGGTTGACTATTTGATCTGGAGGAACAATTTCTGCATATACTATAAGGGGCCCACCATCCAAAGGATAATTCTGGTTTTTTTGAGGGTCTCCCCTCATATGTGCCTCAGAGAGCTTGCAATCTAGCTCTATAGACATGTAGAGAAACAATAATGAGAGAACAATAGGGACAAAATGTTGTTATTAAGTGTGGACTAAAATATGGAAAAAAGTAGCCTGCCTCGAGTTTTCCAGTCAGAATATCGGTATTACGTTAGAGAGGAACTGCCTTCCACTGTTGTGACTCCTATAGGCTGGGACAGGAGAGGATGCTGGTTGGAAACCTTTCATAGTGTCTCATTTTACAACATGACTGAAGATAGAAAGCCTCGCCTCAGGCTGTGTGGGATTTCTGCTGTCACAGGGTCCTGCACTCAGAAGCACCCTGTACTTGGTTTAATTGCTTGCTGTTACTGTTTTGAACTTCTTAATAATTTTTGAACAAGGGTCCCACATTTTTATTTTGCACTGGGCCTTGTAAATTGTGTAGGTGGGCTTGATTTTACTCCTGGGAGTAGAGAGAACAGGTTGAGAGAAGAGCTTCTCAAGTCATGTTCCACCTATGTAAGGCTGGTGGTAGAATTATTTTGATCCTGAGGGTTATTGTCTTTGGAATTTTTCACTAGGATAATCCTTTGTTTGGAACTTTAACAGAGACCACATTCTTTTCTGGGAAGAATTTAGCCTATTGGATGCGTACTACTTTGTACTAACAATTGACAGTGTATTCTTAATTTGATTTCAGCTATTTGGATGGCTCTTTTGCAAAGTACATCCTGGTGCTGTTATTTTTGCTGTATTGGCAGCAATGTCCATACAAGGTTCAGCAAATCTACAAACTCAATGGAATATTGTAGGGGAGTTCAGCAACTTACCACAAGAAGAACTTATAGAATGGATCAAATATAGTACTAAACCAGGTAAAAAAATAAATAAATAAGTTATATTTAGCAAAATGTTTTCCCATAATTTTATATACCACTACAAAATCTTAAACCCAACCATTTTCAGTGATTTTACTCTTTCCAAGCAATATTACTTCTAGAATATCCAAAAAAAGGAGTTATTAGTCCTCAATCCTGCTTAACTGGTTTGCAGAGGAAATGTTATACATATTTTCTTAGTAATTTATTTTGCCATGTTCTATGAATTTTAATTTTTTTCAAAATGTATTCAAAGTTAGAAACTCCAAGTTTAAAATAATTTTTATTATGCTTATTTTTATAATGAATTTTTACTATTAATCCTTCACATTCCCTCTTGGAATTAATTCATGGAATGTAATCTTTATTCATGTATAGAAGAAAGAGGGGCTTTGTTGTCATCTGAGTATCAAATGATTGAATAGTAAATCATCTTCTAGAACTCTGTGGTGCTATAAAGCTTTCCTAGTCAATTTGATACTTTGCTCAAATCAGGAAATATTGCTACGCTTTTTTTTTTTTTTTTAAGAAATAAAGAAATCCCTAATGATGAGATGATGATGCTCTATTTTTCGAGGTAAATAGTTGGCCCAGGCCTGGTTGCTAACTACCACTTTATCAGCCCTCTGACTTCATCCTAGTTCTGCCATTGAATCTTGAAGACGTGAACTGCATTAAGTCTCTACTCTGTCACCTGTGGAATAATTGCATTGAACTAAAAGGAGACTTCTTCTCATACTCACTGAGTGCCTTTCTAAGACCTCCTTCTTGCTTTCCAGATGCAGTGTTTGCAGGTGCCATGCCCACAATGGCAAGTGTTAAGCTCTCCGCACTTCGGCCCATTGTGAATCATCCACATTATGAAGATGCAGGCTTGAGGTCAGTACACAGTATCACATAATCTAAGATGAATTTTTCATACAAACGGACAGTGAGTGAGGAAACCAGCAAAGTAATGAGGAGTGTTTCCAAAAGGATATGAAGAACTGGAACTTAATGAGTCAGGGGAGTAGAAGACTTTGAAATGAGACTACTAAGGTAGAACCAAAACTGTTAAGGCTTTACAGGGCAGGAAACTACATCCTTTGGAATTGTCTTATCTGCCAGGCAGAAAAATAAATTCATACCATGTCAATTTCCTGTAGGCCGACAGGGCTCCAAAATATCCAAGTTCTTATTAGTCATCATCATCCTTAAGTTCCCCTGGAGATTCAGAGATGTATAGTGTTTAGTAAGGTTTTTTCTTTAATAGATGATTTTTCTTGAGTTCTGAGTAGCATTTTAAAATAAGACCCCACTGAAAGAGGGTTTTATTCTGGTTTCACCAATGTGGCCTGCTAGAACAATCTTGGGTATTTTGGGGTTTGTTTGTTTGGGGGGTTTTTGAGACTTGTTTTTTCCCTCTCTTTTTTTTTTTTTTTGTAATTTAGAGCCTTGCATTTGCATAGAAGAGGTAATAGATTTAATTTTTATGCAATTTCTAGGGTGAGTGAAGCGCTTCATTTCTTGAGCAATTAGGTGAATCCTGTTGGTGTAGTCTTTTGTATTGTAGTGGGATATACATTTTGTAAATAAAAAGTCTTTTTATTAAAAACAAATCTATTTTATCAAGCTAATTTTCCAAGAAATTTTATTGAATAACTTTAGTTTTTCTTAAATTTAGAAATAAAATGGAGAATCATTTAATATGAATTATTGTGGATGTCAAGGTTGGGACTTTTGCAGCTTCAGAGTAGTCCTGTAGTTGTATTTGTCGTAGTTCATCCCTGTTCACATGCAGGGTACCTTACTCTTATGTGTGATAGATGGTGAAGAATTTAAAAACAAAACAAGTGAGCAAACAAAAAGACCATGTTTGGAAATAAAAGGATGCATTAAAACCAAGTCTCTTCTCCCAAACTCATACTACTACTTCTTCTGCTTTTGACCTCACCAGTGCCCTTAGCAGGAACTCCTAAGAGGAATTCTCTTTGATCTGATTCCTCTTATAGTCTTTCTTCTAGTCCAGGGTCTAGTCTAGCCTACGATACCAGTCTGTGGCCTGTTAGGAACTTGGCTGCACAGCAGCAGGTGAGTGGCGAACAGGTGAGCAAAGCTTCATCTGTATTTACAGCCCCTCCCCATCACTTGCATTACAGCTGAGTTTCACCTCCTGTCAGATCAGCGGGGGCACTAGATTATCATAGCAATGTGAGCCCTATTGTGCACTGTGCATGATAGGAATCTAGGTTGCACGCTCCTTATGAGAATCTAATGTCTGGTGATCTGAGGTGGAGCTGAGGAGGTGATGCAAGCACTGGAGAGCAGCTGCAAATACAGATTAACATTAACTGTGAGATTTGACTGCACAGAGACCATAATAAATCAGTTACTTGCAGACACATATCAAAATCCTGTCAGTGATTGGCAAGTGAGTTGATACTTAAATTGTACAGCTTCATCTGATGGCAGGCTTTAAGTCAGAATCCAACACTTATTTTAGTCTGTGTGTGGCGCACCCATTATTTTATTTACCACTTCCGTGTGTGCCTCTTTTTTTAATGGTAAGTTGTATAATCATTTCATCATGTATTGCAATGTAATAATAATAGAAATAAAGTGCACAATAAATGTGCACTTGAATCATCCCAAAACCATCCGTCTCTTTACCCCCGGTCCATGGAAAAATTGTCTTCCATGAAACCGGTCCCCTATGCCAAGAAGGTTAGAGACCGTTGTTCTAATCCATTCAGTACTTTCTTCCAAATATGTTGCTTGTATCCTTTTAACCTTGAAAAATTTCTGCCCAATTATTTTTCTTTAGAGCCAGGACGAAAATAGTATACTCAATGTATAGTCGAAAAGCAGCTGAAGAAGTGAAGCGAGAATTGATAAAGTTAAAAGTAAATTATTACATTCTCGAAGAGTCATGGTGTATAAGAAGATCCAAGTGAGTATTGAACACAGTTAATGTTTTATAATCATAAGACATTAAAAGTTAATTCAAGCTCATGGCAAGTGCTTTGCCGCGGTGGTATGTGTGAAATACACATAACATTTTGCAAAGTATAGGTGGAAAATAGTTTTTAATAATTATTTGAATTGGAGTCTTTTCTAGTTATTATAAATATGTTTCTTTTATAATGAATTTCATATCATACTACCTTACAGAGATTATATTGGCACCGATTGATAATTTCACAAAAACTTCTATTTAAAATGGGATGTATTTTCTTTCAAAAGACTTTGAGACTCAGAAGCCAAATAATGGGGTGTCTCCTTGTAGTGAAGTCAGTCCAGCAACTGATAGTTGGGACCTCCATAGTCCGTACCACATCTCTGCACCACAGCATGTTCTGTCAATGGATAGGACACTATCAGTATCAACTTAACATGAAACTTTCCTCTCTTGGTTTTCACATCTTATTTGAATGGAAAAATAACTAGCTTTACTGTGACCCATATTCCCATGAGTTTATAGTTTTTAAAAGTTTCTATTTCTACAGAAAAATTGACTAAGCAGAATATAGCTACAAGCAACTGTAAGATCTTGAAAGCAAATGTGAATTCTAAAGCTGACTATCTAGAAATGTTGCACCTGGTTGACTAGACAGCAGACAACAGTATCCTGCTATTAAAGTACCAAAGTATTTACTCCATGAAAACCACAGCACATGAGCAGTTTCATCAGAAATGAAGGATATTTTATGGAATACTATTATTTTTAAAATCTTACTATCTTTAAACAAAAACCTTCAGGAGATTGCTGTATGTGTGACTTAAGCATACTTATATGATACATGTACCATATAATTCAGTTTCAAAAATAAGGGTGTTAAATATTGACTCATGAGTGAAAATTGTTCTGTGACATTGTCTACACATCTTTGCCCACAAGGAAACTAAAATAACTATTGGTTGCTGAATGGTTTTTCCTAAGAATATGTGCCAAATGACTTGAATTCAATTAGGATTTATAGAAAATGGTATTTTCTAATAATCTAAAAAATGCTTTAAGCATCTGCAAATATATGAATATATATGAAATTCACATACTCACTTTTAAAGGTATTTTATAAATTTAGGACAGAAAAGTTATAAGCATCTCTCATAAAAATGTTATGAGGACATTATAATAAATGAACAATGGGCTGACAGTTGCAGTAGGTGGATCTCAGATTCTTGACAAAGCTTTCTGCCAGAATTGGGATCTTCCTTATTTCCTTGGGCTTCACTCTCTTGAGACACCTGTAAGTTACTAGAACATAAATATAATTTTTCCTCCAAACTAATGATCCACCCTGATTCAAGATTCTTCATTTTTTTCTCATAGACTCTTGCATAATATTTGGATATATGAAAATTGCAGACAGAGGCTCTGTGTTCTAAGGTATTGATAGAGCCCCTTGTTCTGATTGGCAGAGTGCTGGTTCATGTACACAAATTGAATATAAAGGCACATTTAGGAAGTATGGCAGTAAATCTTGCACATTAAGCAAAATCAGACATTTAACTGACTCCAGATTACTTACAGGCTTTTAGACTGAGAGCTGAGATGGAGAGGGGCTGTGTGCTGAATTTCTCCATCTGGGCCTTGATTTGCATTGTTGTGTCTGTTGTAGGGGGTGTTGAGAGGGAGGAAGCTAAGAAAACAACTTTCTCCGGTCTGTCTGCCCCACTCATTAACTAAAACAGCACTTTCCATCTACTACAAGATTTAAGCCAGGCTGAGGACATGCTGTCAGGAAGCAGACAGATCCACTCTGCTTCAGTCTTAACATAAAACAAAAACTGTGCTTTCTTTTCTCACAGGGAAGCAAACAGGGAACTCAGATAGGAGAGGAAAGGGAAGATCTAGTGTTTACAATTATAGAAGGAAGAACTGAGTTTCTTGCTTTTGCCTTCACTCTGCATTTCAGTTACACTGGCCTGAAACACCAATAGGTTACTGGAACACGAAAGTATGTCAGAACAGATAAAGCAAGTGAGAAACTCAGACAGGAGAAGAAAGGGAAGAAGGACCAATTTTTCTCTAGTGCTTAATCTGTGCCCAACACATTGGTGAGCACTGTATTTAAATGATCTCGTTTACAAGTGATTTAATTGTGTGGCTTGATTATTCCTTAAATACTTGACACTGTTCAAATGCAAACACTAAAATACATGCAAATGCAAATTGTAGATGAGTTTTTAATTAACTACTCTTTTATTCTCAGTTCTCTGCTAGTTTTATTAATTTCAATAATAGGGTTGACATAAAATTAAAACACATGTATTCAGCAGAAGAAAATTTTTTAAATTTTCACCAATGCTATTTGTAGATGGGTAGACTGGGGAAACATTAGGAAGCTCAGATAGGACTAAAGAATGTTGCAGGAGGCAGACAGAGCTCACAAAGGCAGCTCTTTGCTCTCTCTTTTCTCTTAAAGCTATTGAGCTCCTGAGAATGCTGGGTAGTTTTCTACTTCCTACATATCTCACTCTCTATCACCATTTGGCCCTTGGTGTTGTAACAGTCCAGCCTTGACATGTGAGAAAATTAAAAGTAGAAAACCCATGCCTGGCCTTATTGTCTTAGGCATTCAATGTTAGTAGAACCTAGTGTCAGTGAGGGTATGCAGGAAGTATGCACTGGGACTCTTCATGGAAACAGTTGCTGGCAAGACCTTTCTAGGAGATAGTTTGATGGAGGAAGAGTAAAAAATTGTGTAGTTCTTTAACAGTGATAATGTTGCCTCTGAAGTTGAGCTTGCAAAAAGGAGATAGGCACAAAAATGTTTATAGCAGCCTTGTTTTATAACGGCAAATGGGAAATAATTAAAATATCCATCCATAAAGAACTGGTTAAATAATACATATGAGTACTGGCAGCTATTAAAAAGAATAAAGTAACTATTTATGTACTGAGATGGAAAAATGGCCACATTTTATTGTTAAAGAGCCCCAGAATAATCCAGTTTTTGTTAAAAACAACCCAAGAACATCTATATATATAAATATGTCCATGTCTGTATTTGTGTGCATGTGTGTCTGAACATAGATAAGAAAAGGTCTTAGCAAATGCTGGATTGTTTATATATGTCATCTCTGAGAAATGACATTGGAGATGATGGTGATTTTCATTTTATTGTTTTGTTTAGGTCTGTATTTTGATACTTTTATTATGATTGATTACTTTTAAATTAAAGATGTTATTTAAAAAGTGAAAGTAATGTACATTCCTGCTTTTGTGTTTGCTTCATGGTAGAGAGCAGGGGTGGGACTGCCACTAAGGAGAAAAGGGACTTGGCTTTAAATTTAGTTTACTTTATTTAAAAAAGAAAGTGAAGCAACTGTGAAAGAACATAAGCAGTTGTCAATTCTCTATAATTTTCCATATATTTTTCTGTTTTAAAAATATCTTAAAAGACAAATAATAAAGTATGAATGCCAAAAAAGCCAACAGTTAATATCTGTGAAACTATTTTTTTTTTTTTTTCATTAATCAGTATTTTTTATTATGGCTTTGTGGGGTACAGTTAAGGGTTAGGTGTACAATGACGTTTCATTCAGGCACCCTGTAGATAAGAAGTGTTTTCCCATCCCCCGACAGATATTTGCTACTGTTAATCCCATCCCCCTCCCCCCCATAGTTTCCCAGTACCATCCGTCATTTTCTCATAGTATTGCATTGGATGTTCAAGGTCCATTATATGAGTGAGAACATGTGATATTCGGATTTTTGTTTTTGTGAGAGGTCACTCAGTATTATAGACTCTAGTTCCATCCAGGTTGCAGCGAAATTCATGATTTTGTTCTTTTTTATGGCTGCGTAGTATTCCATCGTGTATATGTACCACATTTTTTTAATCCAGTCCTCTTTTGATGGGCAGCATGGTTGTTTCCAGGTTCTTGCTATTGTGAACAATGCTGCGATAAACATACGTGTGCAGGTATCTTTTGTGAAACTATTTTTGATTTAAAATAAATGTTACAGTTATTTTGCAGAACTTTGGGCAAAATAATGGGATACTGATTTTACTTGTCATTCCTTATAAAAAATATGTTGCTTTTGAGATTTAGTCATGCGTGTAACTAAGATGCACACTTAATATTACCAGATTTTCTTTAAATTAACTCATTTTAGAATACCAGCTGTCTGACTTATGCTTTTTCAACTTTAATGATGTTTTACTTCACAATGGTATGAAAGCCATATGCATTCAATAGAAACCGTACTTCAAGTACTCATGCATTCATTCTGTTTTTCACTCTCAGTACAATATTCAATAAATTACAAAGCAGATTTTGTTACAAAGCAGATTTTGTGTTAGTTGATTTTGCCCAACTATAGGCTAACATAAGTGTCTCTAGCATGTTTAAGGTAGCTTAGGCTGAACCATGATGTTGAGTGGTTAGGTGTATTACATGCATTTTCAACTTGTTTGCCTCTTAAGATGGGTTTATTGGGATATGGCCTCATTGTAAGTCAAGGAGCATCTGTACAATTGACCCAGCTTTCCTGTGAACTAAGCATATCTGCTAATTAGAATTTCAAAAATCAACATTGTACCTTTTTCTGTGTGCTGGGCATGGTGCTAGATACCTGTTCTGTCTTTAATCTTCACAACAACCCTATGTCAATGGTATTTGTTTCCTAATTTCACAAATGTGGAAACTGAGACTGAGGGAAGCTAACAACGTAACACTGCTTTCTCAGCAAGTAGCTGGAACAGAGTTTAACTGAGGTCTCTCTCATCCCAACAGCTGAGTACATGTATTCTCAGGTCTGATTCTTCCTTTATAGTTCGGTTTGCTGCATTTACCTTGTCCTAGAGTCATGGCATCTTATAAAAACATAAATAACTATGGTAGTAGGATTTTTAAAATGAAGTTAATTTAAATAGAATAAAATGAGGTCAGGAACAAAAGAAGTGTTATGCTTTAGCTGCAGTTATATAATGTGCATTGATTTTTAATGTGCTTTTTAATTCATTTTCCTAGGCCTGGTTGCAGTATGCCTGAAATTTGGGATGTGGAAGATCCTGCTAATGCTGGGAAAACTCCCTTATGCAACCTCTTGGTGAAGGATTCTAAGCCTCACTTCACTACTGTATTCCAGAACAGTGTTTACAAAGTCCTAGAAGTTGTGAAGGAATGACTGCCACATGAACTGCCACTTACAGAGAACCACATCAGTAATGGTTTTAATGTTTTGCTAATAAGTCATGTGTTGTTTTTAATTCATATCCCAAAAACTTTTATGGGTAACTGTTTTCAAATAGAAAACGTTTTATTTGATTACTTTGAATGTCATTCTTATTGTAAAGATGACTTATACCCTTATCAATTGGTTACTATTTCAATTCACCCTTAAAATTTGCTATGCAAATGAGTATATGCTTGTACTTGACTTTAATATTTGTGCTGTGAGCAAAGCTACCTGTATTAAAAAAATGCAATGGGTCGCAACAAGGATGATATGAAAATATTGGTTAATTCTGAAATGTAGAGGGGTTGATTTTGCAAATTATGGACTATTAATGTCCCTTCTTTTTTTCTGCCTCTTGCTCCTGGCTTTTGGACATTTCAGTGATTATTGTAAGCTCTTCTGTCATGCAAGCTCTTCTGTCATGCCAGCTCTTCATCAACTTGAGTTATAGTAGGTGGGGCAGACATGGGTATTTGCCATGTGAAATTATCTGTTTATTTCACTTCCTTGTGTTCTATTCTCTCTTGTTCTTGTTAATGAAGTCTTTTCTGCCTATTATCAGTCACATTCTCGGACTTAGTAGTTAGGACCAAATTTCTTTAACTTCCAGCCATATGGCATTATCATGCCTCTCTCTCTCTCCTCCCTCTCTCTCTCTCCCCCTTCCCACATTTTTTGTCAAATAAGTGCTGTTTGCTCATTTAATTGTTTATCAAGTACTTATTCTTGAGTTTAAAAACTTTTAATGGTAACTGTGTTTTTCTCATTTTTTAGCATTATTCAAATGTTTATATTTTAATACCTTTAAACCACATTTAAAATTTTTTGTGTTTCATTGTAGTCTGAAGCAAAACTATTTTGAACAACCCCAGATATAATGCATCTAGAAACTAATGTATATTTGAATAGACATAATTTATAGTGGAAGAGTAGACTGTTATATATGGTAATATTTCTTTTACTATTAAGATACAGTAAAACATGACTAGTTTTTCTGTCAAAAAAAAGTAAATGAATAATGATAAATGAATGGAGTTTTCATACTTTCGTTTTAAGAATGCCTGTCTTTAATAAGACCAAGCCTTAAGCCTTATGTTATAATTTTGCATCTAAAAAGTATCATTTCAGTATGAGGATTGAGCATATTCAGTCTTTCTCTATTTTTTCTATTTATTTTGAGAAATTTTCAAACCTGCTTTGAATTCCTTGTATGAATTTTTGTTTCTTAGAAGTTAATTTGTGTGAAATGAGATTCTCCAAAATGATGAATCCTCATAGTTCTGAAAAATGGTTTGGGGGTTTAAAATTCTAAGCAAACCATGACGTGGCTGTCTACACATTTAATTATATGGTGTTCTCTTTATTAACCACAGGCAGATTAACCTCATTGTGAATTGTCCTTGAGACCTGAGTCCTTAGGGATGGTTTCCAGTGCCTGCTTCTGGGAGCCACTGAGTATCTGTTCTCTTTCTGCCTTCTTACCAGAGCCAAAGGACATGCGTGGTCTGGGGGAAGCCCTGGCTTGCTTATATTAGTTAGCTGCAAAGGCAGTACATCCAGCTGAGGAATGTGCCCTCAGTGAGGAGCACTGTCCCCAACCCTGCACCAAGGCCCAGGGAGGCTCCTTCCCTGAAGGTGGCTTAGGAGATTAATTCTGTCAGTGTTCTGCAGATTTGAGGTGACTCTTTCTCATTTGCTGGTTGACTGTTTTATTTCTTAGGCTTTTGCCAGTTTTAGAAAACAAGGAAGCAGCTGGGGATTTGTGGATTAGGAGTAACATTTGAGCAATGACGCGCAGCAATCCAGAAAAATGGGAAGAAGGCACCAGGGCCGAGGAGAATGAAAGTCGACGTGGGAGGGAAGAGGGGAGGTGTGCTCTGCTTTATCTGCAGTTGTTTTTCACCCAAATATGGCTGATTTTGTACATCTAGCAGTTACAATTTTTAACAATCATACTTTTAAAGTTATTCACTATTTTTCTCACCCTCCAATAATTCCCTTTTAAATAAATTTGTATGTAATGATTGGAAATTCTGTACAGGAAAAAACATTAAAATACTGTTATAACTGTTTCATATGCAGGGAACATTGAAAGTAGTCTAAATTAACTTTTTCCAGAAGAATCCTTTTGTAACAGTATTTATGAATGTAACTTCCCCAGCAAGCTATGATTATGTTTTAGGCAATTCAGTTTGGAACAGAGGCCTTGAGGGTCCACTGCACATGCAGCCTTGACCACATCTCGTAGCACGGTGCTGTCGAGTATAAATAGCTTTTGTGGTAACGTAGAGTAGTAGTAGGTTTCATATATACGACAAAACAGTATTAAAGCTCAGTATTTAACATATTTTTAGCTTTCAAAAATATTTTTGCTTTAGTGTGAAGAGAGTAAGAACAGAGGCGATCAAAATAGCTATTGCTATAACATTTAAAAAAAACAAAGTTAGGACAGTATGTCTATAAAAAGGTAAGCCTCTAAAAATGCTTGGCAGAAAAAGTATAGTGTTAAAACAGGCCTGTGATATTAAGGAGAAAATGAAAGGATATGCCAGGAATAAAGTGATATTGCATAGGAGTATCGTATTTTTATGAATTTTATGCCAGTTGTTTACATGTACTATATATGTTAAATAAAAAAGATCACAAAAAATGTGGAAAGTGTTTTTCTTCATTGTTATTTTCTTTTCCACCTTAACTGTGAACAGCGTTGGCCTTATTTTATAGAAAGAGAGCTGTGAACTGGTTTGAGTCAGATCACCGTCCTGAGAAGAGGGGGAGGATTGTAATAGTGGAATGTACTCCTTGGTCTTTTCATTGGTGGTGTAGGTACTGAGATTACCCAGACTTTTCTTATATTTATGGTAGAGTTACGTACATTCCTTTATCCTTTCTGTCAAGGGACATAATAATCCATTAACACTGTATATTGGGGGATAATAGAGTTGCTGAAAGCTTTTTTTCACGTATTAAACCATCGACAATTTGATGTCATAATATTTTCTAAATTTTAGCACCATGTTTTTACTTGATAAAAACATCAGCTTTATTGTTCTGTCTCTGTGGAGGAAAGGCAGTTTAGCTCCATTCATTCCTTTATAATTAATTTCTTAACAAGGTGACATTTTGATTTTGACATCTTTGGGGAAGAAGGTGTTCTAACACTGGCTCTCAAAATTAGCAGGCATCAAAATCACTTGGAAAGATTGTGAGGCCCTACCACAGAAATTTCTGATTCAGTTGGCCTAAGGTAGGGCCCCAGAGTTTGTATTTTTTTTTTTTTTTTTGACAGTTCCTAATGATGCTGTTAGTCCAGGGACCTTACTTGAGAACCTCTGCTCTAGTGATTGGGGACAGACTAGGTGGTTGATTGCCCTCTAGGATACGCTCTATCCCCGAAATCACATCCCAACAGGGCAACTTAGAGGGTCCCTCAATTTAAGATTCCCTTTGCTTCTTGGGGGCATTGCTTGAATACAACTTGCAGGGAGCAAAGAACAGGTAAGGTAATTTTTAACCAGAACACTGATGTGACTTTTGAATCATTTAAATATCTGAAGCCATAAACTGGACCTTGTATTTTTATGGTTTAGAGACAGAAAAGGAATGAAAATCCTTTGAAATAGAACTTCCTTTTGTAACATTACTTGTCTAGAAGAAAATAAATTCAGTGATATGTGGGGATTTTTAAAAAATCACTTTCCACTTTATTACTTTTGTTTTGGCCCCAGAAATCCTCAATCTTCTCCCTCTGTTAGAGGGCAATCAAGAGTCAGCACTAAGTCATGGAGCTGCCTGCTTCTCTCTCCTGCCTCCCTTTCTCCTGCCTCCAACTAGAAGTAATTTAAATCAGTAAAATTATTCATGATGCAGGAAAAAAAGATACTTTTAAACTTCTTTACACTCCTGAAATGGTCTTTATTTCACAGCCCTGTATCAGGAAAAATACATTTTACATTCAAAGTTGAAAAGGAAATTAAGGCATGAAAAGGTCTTGGAAACTCTTTTCTTTTACATTTCCTCCCACGAGAGAGATTTCTAAATTCTGAGTGAATATGAGAATGGAAGACTTTTCTCTCTTAAGATTTTGAGTCATTGTATTGTAATTAAGAGATAAGATTTTCCTTTTTTTGCAATGACATTAAGATAGCATTGATATTGGCTCCACTTTAAAGCAATGTTTTCTATAGTTTTCTAAACTCAATTATCTCTAACCCAAAACTCTTAATTACTTAAAATATGCACAATGTTGTCAAAATGACTTTCGAATAAATGGTAGTACTGCCTGGTGTTCTGTTTCACAGGTATGCTCTTTTTAATGCTGCGTAGTATCATCTCATTGATTTTTAAGCACCTGGGTAGATTTTTTGTTTTGTTTTTGCTATATGCAAATGTAATGCCTTGGGAGGAAAAATTTGAATTTAGCAAAATTCAGCATATTCAGTTGTTATGCAATTTCTGATAACTTGAGTCCTTAGCCACTTCTGAAAAAATAGAAATGAAAATAAAAAATGACCATTTCTAAGTAGATATGGCATCATGCCACAAAAACTTAGGAAAAAAGATACATACAGGCCAGCTCTTAAGCTCAGTTTTACTGGTGCAGCTTACAGCTACATTCCCACCTCCCTCCAAGATGTTCTGCTATGCTCTTCAGCCAGGCTCTTCAGGATTTCACTTTTGGTGTCTACATGGTGAGACTTCAGATTCGGGGCCCTCCCTGTTGCTCTGGAAAATCCTCTTCCCAGAAGAATACAATTCGGTAATCCCTCCAGCCCTTCACACGGATAATGAATTTGGCTTTTTCTAACAAAAAGTAGACTCTTTAAGGAAAGCATTCTGTGTTCAGTTATGGATACCTGCAGGGAGAATGGACAGAGTGGTAGCGATGACTGAAATGACCTTTTTTTTTGACTCGCCAAATTCCCAGCTAAGGATCCTGGAAAGATGGGCTTTTATATTAACTATTTGATGTGGTTTACTTTCCAACCCGGCTCTGGCATAACATCTCATAACGGAAACTCTAAGTATTTTATGACCCTGTAAAGCTGTTTCTTGTGGACTCTAGGCACCTCTTAAGGTACTTTCCTGTTCTCTCTGAAGTCTGCCGCCACCCATTATGCTTCATTCACATGTCAGGAAACTTGGCTGCCTTGTCATTCCTCAAGCTGCCCATCTCCTTTACTGCTTTCAAAATTCCTTGGATAACTCTAGCTAACTGTCAGTCATAAAATCTTTGAACCCACCTGTAGCCCTCAGGACCCTGCTTGGGGATACCCCACCTTCCTGGACTTTCCTGGACTAAATCAGTGCAAATCTCACAGGCATGGGTTTATAGTTTCTTATAACTTGTCTTCCTAAAATGTTTATAACCAAGCTACAATTCAACCACAGCAGGCACATGTTCTCAGGACCTCCTGGTGATGATGTCACCGGCCTGAGGTCATTCACATTTTTCTCAGAATAAGCCATCTTAAACATTTTTCAGATTCTGGATCTTTTGTCAACAGTAGTACAGTTGCCAGATGTTTGTAACCCCTGATTAGAGTGTCAATGAGAGAGAAGATAGCTATAAAGTTTTTTAAAAATGTGGAAAATCCAGTTTCTTATCTTTGTAGATGCTTTTTCCCCCTGGGTTTTTTGTTTTAAATCAATATCTACTTCAAGTTGCAACTCAAATGTCACCTCCTCTGTGAAGCCTTCCCTGACTCCCTGCCATTTGGTTGAGTGAGTTGGCTCTCCACCCCAGGCACCATCACTTCTATCATTGCATGTTTGTTTGTTTGCTTTTTGAGTTGGAGTCTCTGTTACCCAGGCTGGAGTGCCGTCGCATGCTCATGGCCACCCCAGCATCAACCTGCTGGGCTCAGGTGATCTTTCTATCTCAGCCTTCCAAGTAGCCAGAACTACAGGCACACGCTACCATGACTGGCTAATTTTTTTTATTTATTGTAGAGATGAGGTCTTGCCAAGTTGCCTGAACTGGTCTCAAACCCGCGGGCTCAGGCAATCCACTCGCCTTGGCCTCCCAAAGTGCTGGGATTACAGACTGAGGCACCAAGCCCGGCCCATTGCATGTTTATTTACATGATTTTTTTCCCTTCTCTGTTGTAGACAGGACTTATGTGTTATTCCATTCTGAATCCACAATGCCTCATAGCATAGTTTCTGGCAAGTAGTGCTGCTTAATGATTTTTGAAGTAAACCATACTTTATACAACAGTGTGGCAAATTCCAGATGGCACTAAAAATTATGTTTAAAATGAAAAGAAATGGAAGTTGATGTATTCCAATTGTGGAGAAGAAATAATAAGGAAACATAGGATGTTGTCAGATGAGATTAATATCACAGATAGGAGAAGACATTCTTGACAGACAATTTACCTTATAAAACCCTTGCTAGGTACCATGATACATTCAGACATGGATAGGAACCATATGAATTTATTGGAAAGCAATGTGTCAAAGACAGACATCTGATTCCAGAGGAGGGACTCATTGACCTAATTTTGGTTGTGTGGCTCAGAATACTATGATAACCAGGCATGGGCACATTCACTGTTGACCAGGGAGCGGGGAACTCTGGTAATTTGGTTAAAGTCCAGAAGGAGGTATTTTCCAGTAGATGTGAATGAACTGGTGTGTTATTAGATGAGGGTATTAGATAAAATAGGTGACAGCAGTAATACAGCTAATATTGTCATAATAGAGACAACTAAATTGGAATCCAGAATGTATCCTTTACAAAATTTTGTGAAATAGGTCATGTTTCTTAATTTGAACATCAGATTTCTTCCAAATGAATATCCCTTTTAGGATGGTAATTAGAAATAGAAGAAACACAAATGAAGAATCACAGCAGGACATTTTAACATACCTTTCAGAAATTCAGAAATGCAGGCTAAAAGACTGGTAAAGAATTGCATACTTTGAGTAATAAGCAATCTTGACTTAGTAGTCACATATAGAACTGCATTCAACAAATGAATATATATCCTATTCATGTTTATGGAACATTTCTAAGAATTGACAATAGAACGTGAACCACAGGAAAGCATGGTTTTTTGGTTTATTTTGTTCATCTATGTAACCCAGACATGCATCTAGAACAGTATCTGGGACATATGGGTGCTCAATATTTGTTGAATGAAAGAATTGATCATACATGGAGCCAAATGACAATTTTCAAAAAACAAAAAAATCTTAAGGATTGAAAATCCTCAAGTAGAAATCAATATAAAATGGAACACAGTTTTAAATAATTCATGAGTCAAAGACGAATTTATGATTAAAATTTGAGAAAATAGAACAATGACATACTATAAGTTGTGGAATACAGTTAAAGCAGGTCTAGAGATAACCTTTTGTGTTGTTTTGGTTTTGCCTTTTAGTCTAGCATGCATACATTAAGCCAAAAATCAACCAACTCAAATATCTATATCAAATATTATATATCTATATTCAACAGCAGAACAGTCCTGGCACCCTACATTGAAGAGAATAACAGCAAAAATGGGTGAAATAGAAAACAAATTGAAGGAATCAAGTCAAAGTTAGTCATAATTAGGAGAAAACAGAGCAGGTATAAAATATTAGCAATGCCAAATTTCAGAAGCTGCAGAGAGTAAACAGATAATAGGAGTAGGTTATAAA